TTTTAAATAAAATTATTATTTTAATAATTTTGAATAATAAAGTAATATTATTTTAGTTTTCTTTTAATTGTTGAATGTTTAATAGGCTTAAACAGGCTAACAGGCCTAGGTCGAGACTTTTATTTTTTAAATATAGGTCAGGCAAGACTTGTAATTTGGGGCCTACATAGGCTAATAGTCTAGGTCAGACCCAGTGTTTTTTACACAGGCCTAGCCTATTTAAGCTAAAGCCCAACCTAGCCTATTTACACCTCTAGTTGTATCCATTAAAGGACAAACGTTTTTCCATATATATATATATATATATATATATATATATGATTTAATGTTTCTTATGCTCAAAGAGATAAAATTATGTCCTACAAACGCATAAAAGTGTATGGGCCTATATTTTTTTCTCTCTTATTCTCACATAGGCCTATATAGGCTCCACACATTTTTATATGTGTATATCTCATACAACATGAGAAACATCAAATCTCTCTCTCTCTCTATATATATAAATATAAATATAAATACAAAAAGAAAAAAGAAACAAAATTTTGTTCAGTGAGAATTTCTATATTATGAAATAAGATTCCGAACTACTTTTCAATCATTTTTAAGATTTGGTGCATTTTTTTCTTGGGATAAGTTATTTTGCCTATAATTATTCTGCCTACCTTTTTCTACCCATCTCAACACCATTAGATTATAATCTCATCTAACGATTGAGATTTGTGAGATAAAATAAATCTTTTTACCCTTTTTTTACTCTTACTACTTCCCACCCTTTCTCTCCTCTCCAAGCGTGAACGAAGAGATGAATTTGGCAACCCTTGCGAACATTTCTTCTTGTGACTAAGAGAAGCATTTTAAAAATTTATTGCTTTCTCACTCCCATCGCCCCTCATCCTTTTTTCTCTCTGCACCGCTTTGCGTTGATGAAATGTGGTTTCTTTTCTACGTAAGATATACTCTAACAAAAAAAAATAAAGAAGTAGCAATTAACAATTTTAAAAGTACACCGAAGAAACAAATTCCACAAAGAAAAAAAACTCCAATGAAGGTTAATTCAACATTTCAGTTAACTTCAATTATTTTTTTCTTTTATTTTTTATAAAGATGAAAAATGATTTATCGATTGAGTGATATATTATATGGCATATTGTTTGAGGTTCATCACCTGAAACAGGTACTGGTAGTGTCTTTACCTGTGATAGCTTCTCTGAGACAAGAACATCGGTCTTCTTCTGTGTATGTCTAAAGAGAGGAGAGATAAAAGGTGAGAGACAGTGAGAAAAAATAAAGGGATAAAGAGTTTATTTTGTCCCACAAATCTTTACTGTTGGATGAGATTGTGATATAATAATATTGAAAGTAATAGACAAAGGTAGGCCGAAAAAATAAGCATAATAACTTATCCATTTTTACTATGGCTAAGGTCCTTGCACTACAACTCTTAAATGTTGCACAACTAATCATGAATTTCATTATTGTGGAGTAGAGTGTATACTTTAACGGAAAAAATATGCAATTATACTCATTGGTTTGAATATCAACAGATAAAATTATAATAAAATACAGTATATGCATAACAAATTATAAAATTGTTAAAATTTACTCATTTAATGTTTAAATTAACAGTTATAATTTCATATTTTCTTATTGAAATTGTTTTCTTAGACAAGTCAAACCCACTAAATAAAGCCCCCACCCACCAAAAAAAGTCTAAATATTTATAATAAATGAACTTCATTTTATATTAGAAATGCTGCATAAGTCACAAATTTTGACAGAATTTAATTAAAATCATGTTAAAATTCAAAAATAGATGTAAATGAATTAAAGTAATTAAAATTATCTATTCTTTTAATAGTCGATAACAATAATACATTATTTTGAAAAAAATCTGACACAAGAATTTTAACTATCAAATACTTTAGTAATTTATCTTTTTTTTTTCTTGTTACGAATAATTAAATGATCCAAGTAGTTGTTCATCAAATGATGAATTGATCAAGTCAAGGTGGTTGGCAATCACTCCCTAAATAGGAATTGTTTGAGCCAGATTCCAACCGTCTCTTATGAAGCCAAAGAGGTTTAAAGATAAAGTCGGATGAGTAAGCTAAAAGGAGAAGGAGTAAAATCGCTTCGACGAAAATATAAGAAGCAATTAGTAGTTTGGCTAGTTGATACATTTACTGTAGATTGAATACTGGGTAAAATGAGCTCATGGTGACTTAATCAGTACTCTAGACGTTAGCTACTTCTAATCACTAATATGTTTGTCGGTTAGGGAGATTAGAAACATGATAGATATTTTTTACGAGGGTTAATGACTATTTTGGAAATGTATAAAAGTAATTATACTTTCAATTGTAAAAATAATAACAAAACAACAACATTAACACAACAATAACACTTCAATTCAAATCCATTTCTATCTTGTCCCATTATTTTTTCCTCCTCTCATCATTTCATTTTAACCTTGTTTGTTTACCTTTCAACTCATTTTTACCTTTCAGATATTTATCTTTCTGTGTCAACATTTTATCATTGCATCAGTTGCATCTATGCATGCTCACTTCATTTTACTTAGTTGTTAGTTAGCTTACCAACTATAAGTAAATAATCGATATTGCACAAAGAATTAAGCTTTATTTAGTAGCTTTGGAACTCATTGTTTCGAAGACAGTAGGTGAAAGATCACCAAAAGACTTGAATCTGAATGTAACAGAGAAAATTAAAACGAAATTAACAAATACAATGCAATAAAGAAAATAAGAACAAACTCACAGTACAGGAAAAGTATGAACACATTATGCAGGAAGAAATCCGAGCCCTGCACAGTTATCTTCTTAAGACAATTTGTTCCCTCACTGTTGCCAAAGGTAGATGAACAAGTGTCTCCTAGGATAGAACAGATTGCGTCTCAAGGATGATGGCAATTACCAACCAAGAGCCTAAACGAAACACAACAGATGTCTGAGGAACTACAGGGATGTAAGGATGTCTGCATGGGTGAAGCAAAAAATCGGCAAAATAATGATGCAGAAAAATTGAATAAATCTTTTAAAGGGAGGAGCGTCTATTTATAGACGCCGGAAAGTCACGATAAAATGCCGTCGGCGAACCACCGCGTCGGACGACGGCCAAACAGTGCGTCTGGTTCGATCCAAATTACGGCGGGTAGCAACAGATAGGTACAAACGTATTTTGGACAAAAAATTAAGAAAATAATTTAATAAAATATTATTTTTATTTCACATGAGCCGGACGGACGGCGGCGCGCGTGTGGTGGACCAAAGGTCATCTAGCTCCTCTCCCCTCCACAAAATGTGTAGTGCCCTAAGGGACAATTTAAAAGTGGGAGGTGGGATTGTATATATTCTCTAATTAGTTGTCCAATATGAGATTTCTTAAAATCCACACACCCTTTTCATCTTCCCTTTTTCAGAACCCCTTCTTATCCATAACCATGAAGAGTTTTATACTTGAAATTCTAACACTCATAGCTCAAAAACAAAATCCCTTAGGGGGCGTTTGGTTGAGGAGAAATTTTTATAAATCATAGGAAAATGTGATTAGTAGGGAAATGGTTGGAAAGTGAGTTTGGTAGGAAAATGTAAAAATAATTGTTTGGTTGGGAAAAATTTTATCGGAAAAATTAGGTAACTTTTGTAAAGTCTATGTTTGGCTTTTGGTAAAATATAGATGGGGAAATAATGTGCTATGACAAAAATACCCTTGTTTTTATAAAATATCAGTTGTGAGCTTTCAGATTTAGGTAGCTAGGCAAACAAGGGGTACGCTGGTCTTTTCTTACATATACGGTGTGATGAAATATGGATGTTTTCAGGAATACAACCTACGAAAATGGCAACTTTGGCCGGCAATATCAGTTGCAATAGATATGCAAATACATTTGCTAGCTTTCAGATTTAGGTAGCAAAGTCAAGAACCACCTTGAACCAAACGATGGTTTCTTATATTCCCACTTCTTATTTATCTATCGTTTTGCCCATTACTTTCTTACACATATCACTTGGACATTGGGAATCAAAGCTTCGGGTTACTTTATCAGCTTGACTAATCAAGTAAAATCATAAATACTTACATATTTCAATATATATAATATATAAATTGCACAGTTTAATTTTGATACACTGTAATCGCAAACAAAATATACATTGTCATGCAATAATATGTTATGATATCACCTGAATGTGTTTGATAAGGATAAGGCTTAAATAAGTTATAAACGTTGCACTAAAATTAAATTCATTTTACAATTGAGTCCATGAATTAAAAAACAAAATTAAACTTTTGATTAGACAATTATTAGCGTTAACTTTATGCTTTGGTGGAAGTAATAAATAATCGAAAGAATAAGATTACGCAAGATAAGAACTTCCGGAACGAAAGATAATGAATGAATCAGAAGTGTTTTCAATTACTTAAAAATAGCAAAACTTGTACTAAAAATAAAAATAAAAATAGCAAAACTTCTTTTTAGGCTTATATAATATATAATATAAAGAAGGGTTTAGTGTTTGTCATTTTAAAAAAAAATAGACACAAGAAATAAAAATCATGGAGGAGAAAATGGATGATTTTTTTTAATTTAAATTTTAAATAAAAAAATATTTTTTGTGTCTACTCTATCTTAAAATGACATAACTTTATGTTATTTAAAATGACAAACCTTTTTTAAGATTACAAATTTACAAAAAGTATCAACCAAACGATCCAAGAAAAGCAACGAATTGATTAGAATACGGAATACTCCAACGGGCTTATTTTCATCCTCAGGCCCATTTCATTATCGAATATCCTTACTCGCAAAAAGGAGGAAATAAAATAATTAAATGAAGAAAAATAAAAAATAAAAATAAAATATTTATATTCCGAGATCATGGTAGGGCCCATATTTGGATAGTGGTCCCCCAAATTTCCTTGTAGCTTACCCAAACGAAACTGTACGGGTATAGAACCGTAGACCGTATCCATATAATTCAACAGTAGTATAGTAGAGAGTAGAGTAACCGTAGCTTAGCAACGTTGCTTTCACAGTACTTCAAATGGTTGAGAAGCAATCTCATACAAAGAGAGAGAGAGAGAGAGAGAGAGAGATTGACCACCATTGATGCACTGCTTTTTATACCACACTCTCAACAAAATTCCCCAAACATATTCCTCATTTTGCATTCCCCATTCTACAATTTTCGTGAACTGGATGCTTCGGTTCAACACTGTCACTCTTCTAAATTAAGAGAATTCGAGGTGTATTCGGTTCAATTGGATCTTCTTTTTTTCTTCACTCAATGGAGCAAGTTACAGGAGGATTTCGTGGATCCACTCACGATGTCAACACACTTGAGTCCATTCAATTCAACGAAGTAATCCGGGGAATAATGGCGCCGGCACCGGCGCCGGAAAACGCCAGCTCATTCACCGCGCTGCTCGAGCTCCCGCCCACGCAGGTTGTCGAACTTCTTCACTCGCCGGCTTGCGACGGAGACGCCGCCGCTCGGAAGCCACCTTGTTCCGACGTCAACGTGAATCAGAAACCCTATCCGGTCAGCTCGTTCAATGGCAATTTGACATTCCCTTCCAACGCCGCCTTGATTGAACGCGCCGCCAAGTTCTCCGTGTTCGCCGGAGAAAACTCGCCGCCGCCGGGGGAGGCGAGCTTGGTTCCGGCAGGGTCCGGTGCGAATTTGGATAGGGTGAAGAACGAGCCCCAAGAGACCGATTCGAACCCGTGCTCGACGCAAGGGTGCGTTTCGGATCCCGTGGTTGAGAACAAGAATCAGAGAGCCGCAAAGAGGAAGGAGCGAGAGAAGAAGGTAACGGTAACCCCCGATTGCAACAAATGGGAGAATTAGGGTTTCTGTTTTCCGTAGAATTCAGTGCTCAAAACATGAAATAATCGATGATTTTATGAATTACAGGTCAAGGGATCGTCGAAGAAGAGCAAGAGCGCCGCCGATGAGACCTCCGGTGACGGCGAGAAGCTTCCCTATGTCCATGTACGAGTTCGTCGAGGTCAAGCCACAGACAGCCATAGCTTGGCAGAAAGGGTAACCTCTTGATTAATCACTAATCAATTTGTTTAATTTCGATCCCTTAATCACATTTATCAAAGTTTAATGTTTTAATTTTTTTTTAAATTTTAATTGTGTTTTTGTTGTAGGCTAGAAGAGAGAAGATCAATGCTCGCATGAAGCTTTTACAAGAGCTAGTTCCTGGATGTGACAAGGTCGGTCTCAATTCCAAACTAAAATCCTTAGATACTTACTAGAATTAATTAATTAATTGTGCTTTATTAATTTTTCTGGATTGTGCTATCATTTTCTGTCTAATTTGTCTCCCAAAAGTGCAATTATATCTTTGGTTAAGGGGTTTAATAACGGTTTTTGTCATTGTCACCTTTTCACCTATAATAAAAGTTATTGCTTTTACAAGAAGGGTAGCGCCCACTGGCACCGAGTTTCAAACATAGCATTTCTGTAATTTCACCCTCTTTGGTTTTGCTTTATGGGGATTTTCTTTCTCATTACGTATCTTTTTTGGAGGTTAGTTTTGTCATTCCAAATTCCAATATTTAAGCTCCTCTCTAATATTGACCTTCTATACGCAGCAGATAATATTGAATAGTGCGAGGTAAGTAACGGGGGGCTTTTGGACCAGACTGTGTCACTTTTAGAAACAATTTATTGAAAGGAAAACTTTTTTTCGCATGAGAATTCAACTTTCATGTTAGTGACTCTTCGATTTGCCTATAATTTTTTTTTTTTTTTTTTTAATAAATATGGGGTCCACCACTAGTTGAGTCATAATTCTCATGCAACATGAGAAAATTAAATCCCTTTATTAAATGGGGGTAATTTAAAAATCATTTTCTAATCCGAGATTTTTTTGTCATGCTGGTAAGGAATCTTATATTATATATATATATATATATTTTTCTTTGTACTTAAAGGCGTAACTTAAGGCGTAATTATATAAAATGCCGGTTAGAGTTGCGCTTTCATGTAAGCCACCACTTGATTGGACAATTAGGAGGCCCAATACTCCGAAAACATTTTACGGTAACACGAATCGGCATATTCTTTATCAAATATAGAAAAAAATAATATATTTACAATATCTCTATCTATTATTTACTTTCATATTCCTTTTTTTTTTTTTACATTTTTGGTAAAGGACTACTCCAGCAGTCCCGCTGTACCAAAAATCCATTCCACTACTCACATGTTCTTTGTTCAAATTTATTTTTCTTAGAGATTTACATCTTCTGCCCCCTCTCCCCCTCCTCTTTATTTGCTTCAAAGGATCACATGGTCACATTTAAAGGCCACAGAAGAAAATCACTAAAAATGATACAGTGATGAGGGGTTTAGATAGTTTGTGTAAGGTGGGAGGTGTAAACCTCAATACCTCTAATCCTCCGCGCTATATATATATATATATATATATATATATATATATATATATATATAAAATATTTTTTTCAAGTTGCTGGACGAGGTGGGTGAAAGCATTAAATGCGAGGAATAAATATCAAATTTTAGCCGTTAATTTTTGTCAATCTAATGGTTATAATTTATTGGATCATACTTATTAATTAATTATTAATTTCTAATAAATTATAACTATCAGATTGGCGAAAATAAATGGTTAAGATTTAGTTGTAAGCAAAAAGATGTTATAAATATAATCTCTCTCTTTCTCTCTCTCTCTCCATATATATATATATATATATATATATATATATATAAAACTGGGAACAACTTTCCAGAGAAAGTTATCTCCTGTAACTCCAAAATAATGTCATTTTAGGGTTTTGAAAAAAATAATACTGGGTATTTTAGTAATTTTAATTTCCTTTTATATTATGTATTTTACTAAAATGCTCCATTTTCAAACTCCCAAAATGAGTCATTTTGGTGTTGTTGGAGATAACTTTATTTCATGTTGCGGGAGAAATATTTTTCATATATACATTATGGAAAAAAACGTTTGCTTTTTTAAAGGATATAACTTCGTGTCATTTTAGATCTAACTGTTGATTTTCGTCAATCAACGGTTATAATTTATTGGGTCAAACTTATTAATTAATTAGTAATTCGCAATAAATTATAACTATTGATTGACAGAAATCGACGTTTAGGATCTAAAATGACACAAGTTATATCCTTTAAAATGACAGAAGTTATATCAACATAACAACGGTTCTAAGTAAAACTTATTATTAGTTATGTTAAAAGAGAAAGATTCACACAACATTGTAGTCGATTATATATTTTAGAACATATCCTATATTTTACTATATATTATAAAACTCAGACAACTAAACTAAACTTCTTTATTTAAGTTTTCAATTGGTGGGAGTGATGAGTGAGCTGCAACACTTGACGTGGGCTGGTATCGATGGCCATGGGTCCCCTTGGCAAGTGAGATATTAATCCACGGTGATGGTACAATTATCTCTACGGGTTTGGTATCTCCATCATTTATGAAAATGAAGAAAATGATACTTTTGGAGTGCATCTACCAAACAACTGATCTTAGTGGCTTGGGACATTTGTACATGATCAAATTAATGTCACCTATATGCTTATTATTGAGATATTCAAGTGTAATAAATCCCACATTGATTGGTAATGGGTTAAGTGAAGTGTGTATAAGTGGAAGGATCCATGAATTCAATGCCTTAAGGTTTTGGGTTGAGATGTGGTGTCAGACTCACTTGCTATATTTGATCCACTTAGCCTATTGGTGGTGGTCCCCCGCCACGGGCTTTCCCCTGAACCCGCCTGACTCTGGGTATCAGAGCCGGGTTGGGCTCGAGTTAGTCTGATGATTGGCTAGGAGACGGGTTGAGTACTTGGGCTTGAGCTAGTCTGGTGATTGGCTAGGAGGCGGGTTGAGTACTTGGGCCTTGAGGTACTCGGTTGAGGAGGAGCATATCAATGGTGAGTCCCACATTGGTTGGTAATGGACTAAGTGAAGTGTATATAAGTGGAAGGACCCATGAATTCAATGCAAACTCACTTGCTATATTTGGATTAGCTTAGCCCATTGTGGTGGTCCCCCTCCACGGGTTTCCTCCTGGACCCGCCTGACTCTGTATCAAAGTCAGGTTGTGCTCGAGCTAGCCAGGTGATTAGCTAGGAGGCGGGTTGAGTACTTGGGCTCTCGTTACTCGGTTGAGGGGGAGCATATCAAAGTTGGGTTTCACACTTGCTTTTTGTATAGTAATAATGATAATGTCACCTAAACATAAATTAAATACGTACACCTCAAGATTTATCCCGAAAGAACAGGTTATAATATTTTGGTAGGTCGAGAAAACATGTCATTGATATGGTTTCAGGTGTTTATATAATTATCATATATTTCACAATATACAGTTATTGAAATCACATATTTATGTGTGAATTTTTCTCTGCGTGCTATTAACATAGTAAAAAGTAAACACAAAAATAAAAAGATTTATCAAACCAAAATTTGTAATATATTCCATAGGAATATATCTATTATTTTTTTCAAAGTATAAAAGAATGCGACTAAAAAAATTATGGTGTAGGACTCTAAACAAGAAAATAATCTCCTTGCTCCCTATTTAATTTTGTCCAACCAAACCTTTGTAATATTTCTTTCATGAATTCTAATGGATTATTCCCTTGTATTCTGTAGTAAATAAATGTTTGGAAAAGGCCAGCCGGTACCATAAAGCTCCTATATGCGCGGAGTTTTGGAAAGGGTTAGACATATAACATGAGTCTATAGCATATTGCCATGCCTTGCATATGGAATTCCAAACTCAATCCGGCCTCCTAAGTCACATGGAAACTACTCCAGCTGTGGTGTTAAAGCTTCCTTACAGTAAATAAATGAAAACGGGGGGAAATTTCTCCATTATAGGAGCAAGATGGCAATTTTAAGTGCCTTACTCAACTTTCTTTCTTTATTTTTAAAAACTTTAGTTGTGGCAGTTGTCCCTTACATGTCAATGTAGATCTTCCAGAACTTATAGTGTGTGTGTGTATATATATATATATATTATTCCTACAATGGTCTGCGAGGTATTAGAATACTGGTAGTGGTATGTCTTGGATTCTTCAATCTGTACTTGCCTATATTCAGGTAGCATATGGTTTGTCCATGAGCAACTCTGATTTAGGGGCTTACTAATCATAATTGCCCCCATGGATCATGGTTATTGCTTTTCCAAAGTCTGGAAACATTCAATCAACAGATTTCTTTCTTTCTTTTATTTAGTGAATAAGCTGCATTTAGTTTTGGACCAGTTGTCTGCATTAATCATTTCAAAGTTTCACTTGCATGTCAGCATCAGTTTTGTTGTATCTTCCAAAACTAAATTAGGTGTTTGGTTTTATAGCATTTGTCAACAATGTTACGCAAAAAATGGAGATTGGTTGGCCTTTCAGCATTGCATGAAAAATTAACATGCGCCTTTCTTGATGATATTGAAATGCTATTTGAATTATTCTAGTCTGTAGATGTTCCTGAATATGGGGGAAGAATAAGTTGCTCCTTTGTGACTAAAACACCATGAGTTTAAATCCAGAGAACAACCTCTTTACAAAAAATGTAAGGGTAAGACTGGGACAAGAATTTCCCCCATCCCTACCCTTGCAAGTTGGGGTTTCATGGGGATTGAATTTTTCAATAATCTGGTTGAAGCTTTCCCCGAAGATGAATTCTCATGGTGGCCTAATTACCATGTGTTATGTTCCATCACATTTGCATACAGACTTGCTCCATAAATGAGTCTTTTTTTTTTTTTTTTAGAAGCCTTAATTACATTTTCACTCTTTGATTTTGCAGTTCATTTGGATTGTGTTCAATTTTCTCAAAATAGCTAATGTAGGTCAAATATAGCTGACATGACATGATTCACTGTACAGATATCAGGAACAGCATTGGTTCTTGATGAAATCATCAACCATGTCCAATCTCTACAACGTCAAGTGGAGGTCAGACTCTCATATTGCAGACATTTTACGGAAATATTTTTACAATGAGCAGGCTATAGTTGTTAATTGTTAGCTGTTTGTTTCTCAATTAATTATGGATTATGCTTAGAAACTTTTGAAAGAAAAGGCTGGGTTTCCTTCCCGAATTCTTCCCGGGTCTTCAAAATTAATATTTTGTCCTATAGAGCTAGTGAGGGATACTGGAATATTTTGGGGGTCATTGGGAACAAATGAAGTATTTCTTACCTGTAAGCAAGCATTAAGAATTAAACATTAAGCTGTATTGGTCCTATTATTTTGAACCACATGACTTATAGTCTGCTTTAAGAAACTGTTTTTCTTCTTCATCCAGTAATGGTCTAACTACTATCCTCCCCTAATATTTGTGGACCTGAGGCATGAAGTTGCTTGTTCCTAGAATTGGTCATTGGTTTATTTACTTTATATGCTTTAAAGTTATAATATTCTTGCAATAATATTTTGGCAAAATAAGCTCGCGTAGCAAGTGAACTGTGAGTCTAACCTGTGGAAATAAGTCAAGATTGCTAGATTGAGGATATTTCTATTGGAAAGCAACACAGTGATATTTCAGTTAACTTGCATGAATTTGATTTTGGTCTCGTTGCTTTACGCTTTGATTGCAGATCTTATCAATGAAACTGGCCACAGTTAACCCCAGAGTTGATTTTAGCCTGGACAGCTTATTGGCTACTGATGTAAGTATTATAAATTAATCTATAACCCACTCAATTTTATCTTTCATTGAAAAAAAATAATTTATATATTTATTTTCTTGGCTGGGAGAGTAATCTGAAGACTCTCAACTTCTCTGGGTTAGCTAAAAAACTATATTTGAGGGATAATATATGACCTCTACTACAAAACAATTTCTGTTCTGCCTTTATTGGTGCCATCGATGTTTTATTGTTTATGCAGGTGAAATATGATTGATTAAAATGTTGCTATCGTCCTCTGTAATTGTGTTTGCGTAATTCATATTTGTCCAAAAACTGAAATGTTACATGTGGTACCCTGAAAGAGATGATTGTAGCCAGTTACTGTTATTTATGCCATTCTGTTGGATGTCATGCTAGAACAACTCAGAAACACTTTGAATAATTGCTCAAAGTAAAATGTATGTGTCAGAAGGGCAGAATCATTAATTGCAGATCCTCCGGCACATTGTAATTAAAGTCATTGCATCTCAATCCTTAAATCAAGGTCACGGGTTGCCGGCTTGGTTTATGGAATTGAAAATGAGTGTTTGAATGTCTTAAGCTAGAGCTGGTGTTGGAAGTGTGTGATTTTGATGAAGTACAGTGCTTTATATAGCCAGTCCGGCTTTTCCGTTGATGTTGAGAACTGCTGATAAAATCTCCTTTGTAAATTACAGGGGGCATCTCTAATGGACAGTAACTTACCTAGCATAGTTACACCTATCATGTGGCCAGAAATCCCACTCAATGGTAACAGACAGAATTATCAACAACAGTGGCAAGTCGATGCATTCCACCAACCACTTTGGGGGAGGGAAGAAGTCAACCATAATTTCATGACTCCAGAAAACTCCCTTTTGAGTTATGACTCGTCGGCAAATTCAGGTAGATCAGAATTAAGCTTCTATTGTACATTTCTACTCTCAAATGACTTGTTTAATAGAAAATTTTCCGACTCCATTGCATCATGGTTTCTATGCTGCCGTTGGCACTGGTCTTCATAAATAGGCAGGGGATTGGAACTCTTTTTTCTGTCTTTTGATGGGATGTTTTGATAATGAAAATTATAAAAGAATCTTGGAAGGATGCTCATAAATAATAAATGGGGCATTCTAGTCGCATAATTGAAGTTGCAAATTGCTGGAAAGGAATTAATTGAAACATGAAATACAAAATTACAGAGATTTTTTTTTTCTCGACAGGAAAATTTTGAACGTATTTAATTTCAATTTAATTTGTGTTACAGCATCTCTGCACTCTAATCAATTGAAGATGGAGCTCTAAAAGCGTACAGAAATTGTCGTACCACTAGCTATTAGCACAATAGTGTATATATCAAGTATAGTATTCGCAGTTAGCAGGGATTTTAGCGGTCTCAACATTCAATAGGGTTTCCATGTCTTCTATTTGTCAGAGTCAGTTGGAAACCTGGATTTTCTTCAGCCAGAAAGGAAGCAGAATTGGTATGCTATTCTTATATAATATCATTATCACTATGTATACTAACTACAGGGGTCATTCAATCTATGGGGTGATTGATTGATTGATTCAGGATTGTAAAATCATAGAACGGACTGTTGTTACTGAACTATCATGGGAGTGAATTGCTTTGTTCATTCAATGCTACTTAGATGATTGGCTTCTTATGAGGATTTTCCTAAACAAGTTACTTTAGTTTTGAATTAATTGCAGTATATGTTTTTTTCCCCCCCTTGCTTTCGTCATAAAACCAGAAATCCCTTGTTTATTGTTGATCCCAACAGCAGTGCTGCTGGTATTTATTGTCTTATAGTCGGGCTCCCTTGATTCTGCTCTGAGATTTTCATTGCATTAGTTGTTAGACTAAAGTGACATTTAATTGCGAAATAGACGTAGTTAATGAAACATTGAAGGTACATTGGAATTTGAATTTCAGTGAGGAGCAAACGTCCCGTGAAGAACACTTGTGGGCTTGTGGCAATGAACACAAAAGACATACTAAACTCCAAGGTTGTGTGCATATAAGTTTTATTTTAAGAAAAGTAATTTTACCAATTTCATACACAAATCCATAACTACAAGAATGGATTACGGTTTCAATTCATTGATTTAGCAAAATTTATTACTAAAAAAACACATAAAATGTTTGATTCTGAGTATCAGTAAGAGGAGAAACAAAGCATGACCATTAAAAAGGCCCTTTAGTTCCATAGAATATCGATATCATATCACTCTCCAACACCACAGAAGCCTCACGAACTACTCTATACCTTTGCAGATGAAATGGCAGAACTTGCTTCTCAAATATTTAGCATCATGCTCTATCTGAAAACATACTTAAGAACATGGCTCTATCAAATTGAAAAGGTCATCTTCCAAAAGTAGCAAAAATTTATTCCACCTAAAGCAAAAAAATTAATTTATTGCATTTTAAATAAGAAATTACAAATTTATGACTGTATTGAAAATATTTACGCATTTATTATACAAAATGACGCCCCTTTTGAGCGTCACATGTCACACCCAAAGTGGGTGTTACTGCCTGGTGGGTCACGCCCAAAGCAGGCGTGACATGTGACGCCCAAAAGGGGCGTGACCCATGCAGCCTATATAAACCCTCATTTTTTCTTTTTTACCATTTCACACTCTCAATCTAACCTCTCTCTAAGACGATTGTGCTCTCTACTTTACGTGGAAATTTGCGTAGCGAAACTCTGCTAACAAAAGTAAGTTTTTAATACCTGCTATGTATACGTTTAAATTACAGTGCTACATTAGGAATATGTTAGGGTTTAGCGTATATTAGTGAGTTAGAAAATTGTTATAGTGCCTTAGGAATTTTGTAGTGAGTTATGAATGTTGTAGTGACTTAGAAATATTGTAGTGACCTAGGTAATATTATTATTTAATTACAAATTAATTAGTGACCTAGGTATTATTATTATTATTATTTAATTATGAATTAATTAGTGACCTAGGTATTATTATTATTTAATTATGAATTAATTAGTGACCTAGGTATTATTATTATTTAATTACAAATTAATCAGTGACCTAGGTATTATTATTAATTAATAATGAATTAATATACTTGATTATAAAATTGTTAGGAACATGATGTGATAATTTGTACGAATTAAATACTTACGAATGAATTAATGACCTAGGGTTTTTGCTTAATAATTTTGATAGTGAATTAGGAATTTGCTTAATTAATTTTTAAATAAATGTCGCTGTTACATGTTGTAAGTTGTTGTTTTGTAAATTATTTTCAATGTTGTATTACACTTATATGCATAGTTTTATTATAAATTAACGGTTACAATATATTCTCAACTTTGTATAGTTATTTAACACGGCTGATTCATCATCATCTGGGGGTTCTGCATCCAATCATGAGCCAGAGCCTACCGATCCTAGTATGTATATCATACTTGGGCCGCATAGGTGAGAGGCCCTTCGGAAGAGGACGCAGAGCGCTCACATTTCATAGCGGGTGTGGAATACGGAACATGTTCATCAGTTGAAGACCCAGCGTGGCAAGGTACAAGGGGGCCACCTGCCAGCGCTATTCCAGATATGGTCGTCGATTACGTCACACAGGCTGGATTAATACATGTTGCACGCATGCGATATATTCAAGTATGCACTTGACAATGTAATAGTTTATATAGTTATTCAATACAATGACATACCGTGTGATAATTGTATAATGTATTTTAGATTGATGCTGTATTGATTAGTGCTCTGGTCGAGAGGTGGAGACCAGAGACACATACTTTTCACTTAACACAGGGTGAGATGAGTATCACCTTGCACGATGTGGCCGGTATACTGAGATAGCCTACTGACAGGAAATTCGTTACTGGATCTACATCCGAGGATTGGCCTACCGTTTGTGAGGCTGTTTTTGGTGCCAGGCCTTGGGCCAGTAAGTTTTATGGCTAAGGCGACCTACACATCTCATTCTTCGATCGATTATGGGCCTGGTGGAGTGATGCAACTGAGGATCGTGATCGAGAGATTTTTTTCACAAGGGCACATTTTGCCCGTATGCTAGGGTGTTGGCTACTGTGCGACAGGTCTAGAGGTAGCAACATGGGTTGTCGTCTAGTCCCGTTGCTTGGGGGAGAATTTGATGACATTGGCCGATATAGCTGAGGATTTGCGGTTCTGGCACACTTTTTCAGGAATATGTGCGACTGTACAGATGCCGGTAGATCTGACATGGGTGGGTGCCACATTCTTCTCCAGATTTGGGCATGGATTAGATTTCCACCTATTTCTCCCCCGTAGGGGTGTTAATCAATCAATCCAAACCGATTCAAACCGCGGTGACCGAATCGAAAAACCGATAACCGGATAATTCAAAAACCGAAAAAAAGCCGCAAATTTTAATTGGATTGGATCGGTTTTCGGATGGGTTGATGAAAATCGATCCAATCCAAACCGATCCAATTTATTAATTCTCCTCTACTTATTTGGGTCTTTCCCCAATCATATCTCAAAAAATTTTAATCCCAAGACCCATTAACTCATCAGTTAAACTCAAGAAAAAATTTAGTCACATCTTATCAACAAAATTTTATCTGTGTAAAGCTCCATATCTCATTGCAAAAAAAAAATTATATTATCGTTTACTGATGCTTTTCTATTTCAAAATAAAATAAAATGACAAAGCCTATTATACAAAAGTTGTTATTTGCACAATAACCATGAAACAAATTTTAGGATTTTCAAAAAATTGAAAATCGATCCAATCCAAACAGAAAAAAATAGGATCGGATTTGAAAAAAAATCCAAACCGATTGGATGATTATATGATCAAACTGAAGCAATTAGATCGGATGATTTTTACTTCCAAAATTGATCCAATCCAGACCACGAATACCCCTACTCCCCCGCTTCCTCCTCCTCTTGACCCTGGCACGCACTTTGGATGTCGGTACGGGTGTTGAAAGCCTTTGTGTCTGATTTATTATTAATTTGCGTATTGTATAGTTGCTTATTGATGTTTGTTATGAATTACAGGTTTAATACTCTCAGGCAGTTTAAGCCACATGAGGTTGTGCATTATCGGGCAACCATGGATACAATATGCAGAGATGAGATTTGGTTTTATGTATTTATTAGCAATTTAATAAGTGTTGTTGTCTTTCTTTATTAACTATGTAATTATTGACTATTTGTTTGTGTAGGTGGTTTGGCGACTATACATAGATTACGTATGGTTGGGTGTCACTCCACAACAACAATATCTGTGGTTTGCTGTCACACCCCTTATTTACTTCCACACGGTTGAGGCCAGCCAACCGGACAGGTGTATAACCTGCACAGAATGTTAATGATATCAGCTTCAAGAGATGTAAGCCAAAAAAATTGGATGATTATAGTTGAGCCAAAAATACCTAAATTCTTTAATGTCCGCTTCAATCTCTCATTTCGAAACTTCTGATTGAAGTTGCTTGCAATATGACGAATACAAAACACGTGATATGCATTTGGTGGCTGCCAATTACGATTATTCTCCACAGCAGATATTATGCTACGATGTCGATCGGAGATTAGGCATATGTTTGACATTTGCGGAACATGAGCACGAATATTAACAAGGAAATAGTCCCAAGCTTCAAAGGTCGCACTTTCAGCGATGGCAAATGCAACAGGTAGACATTCTTCATTTCCATCTTGGGCCGTGGCCACCAACAATTTGCCTTTTTACTTTCCATATAAATGAGTGCCATCAATTTGTATGACTGGTTTGGCAAATTTGAATGCCTCGCAACACTGTCTAAACGTCCAAAAGATACGATGAAACACGCATTTTCCAGGAACTATTCCATGCTCCACATAATAATCATTTGTTTGAATATGATAAAAAGAACCTGGAGAAAAGCGAAGCATGTATTCACACCACCTGGGAAAAAAAGCATACGATTCCTCCCAATCATCGTACATCATTGCAATTGCTTTCTGCTTCACATAACATGCCTTTCTGTACGAAACTTTGAATCCATATTTAGAGGTGATCTTTTCCTGAACCAGTGCAATTGAGACTGATGGTTCTTCCCTTATCATCCCTAGAAATGAAGACATTACATACACATTAAGTATAACGTATATAAGTGGTAACACCTATTTCAAAGTTGCATACACATTAAGATAGAATACGTACCTAGAACGAGATTCGCAATGACGTCAGCATCGAGTTGTCTATGACCCTGAGAAATGTGGTCATTCAAACAATTGTGATCCCCGGCCCATCCAGTAATCTTCCAATTTTCACCAAACACTACTTTTATCGCCCTAATGCGCCACGGGCAACCCTTATCATACGCGCAACATTTCATCTTAACTTTGCAGGCATGCTCTCAATTGCAATTGCATCTTGATGCTCCCTCATGAGGTTGAGCTTCAGTGCCATTTAAACCTCATTTTTCGTTGCAAATTCCTAGTTCACAAATAACTTGTCACCCAGTTGCCACATACCTTGTATTGATCTTGATCCCGAAACTAAACCATCAGTGCATGATTCTTGTTCGCTCCGATAACTCCAATCAATATGTGTGTAATGTGGAATTCCTTCCCAAAAAGGAATAACAACATCGTCACCTGCATATAGGAATTAAAACTTGTTAATACATTATTCAAACACCCTAAATCACATACGAGTTATTCTGTAAAATACCTTGATGATGTTCTGCTAATTGTGCGGAGCCCATGTCATTAAGTTGCAGGATTTGAGACTCCACTGGTTCATGGTATACTGGGAGTTGAGACGCGCCCCTGTCACCATCGTCATCTTCTTCAGAAGCACTAGCATCCTCGGCCAGAAGATATTCTTCCATTGCGATATTTTCACCATCATCGTCGTCGTCATGCATAACCCAAGTAGGTTTTTTTTCATATCCCTAAAAAATGTTAGCAACTAAAGAAGCATGAGCAGCGGACGTTGATGCAAGACGTGGAGAATTTAAAGCAACTGAACTCACCGGTAAGGCTACATCCTCTGCTCCGGCAATATCTACATACAACTCTAGACAATCTTTCCTTGACTGGTTGAAAAATTCTTCCATTATCATCTCGACGTCTTCATCATCAACCAATTGCAAACTAATGTATTGATAAAATTGCCATAACCTTGTGGTGATCTGAGTGATACATTGGTTACCTTGAAGAGTTAACTTCTGACGGATTCTCTTATACAGTTCGTCAATGGTTGCATTGCGTTGAATATGTGTTGCCTTTTTTTCACCTTCAAACATGACACCTCGTTGGCCTTCCACCTTCCTACCATTGTAATATAACACAACACGAACAGAATCGGAATGTGAACTCATTTTAAAATGGAATAACAAAAAAATAAAAGACTAAATTTAAGCTAATAATTATGTATGTAAATATAAGAATTGATGGTAGAGAAGAGTTGTGAATAGTGTATAAAGTGATAAGGGTTTATATAGACTTTTTTGCATCATTCATGCCCTGGGGAGGCAGCATGTCTGCATGTGTCATGCCCAAATTGGGCAGCACATGTCACGTCCCATTTAGGCGTGACCCATGTGGGTGTCACGCCTAAATGGGGCGTGACATGTGACGCCCAATTTGGGCGTGACATTGTGCAATAGATACATAAATATTTTCAAAACAGCCCGAAATTTTTAATTTTTTATTTAAAATGCGATAAATTAATTTTGTTTGCCTTCCACCTAATCCAAAGTACTGAATAATAAGAGAATGGATGACTGTGGGTTTCTCACTTACTAAAGCTCATGAAGCAGGTATCGGGGGAAATGACTGTATACCACTTTCTTAGGTGCAGCTGGTGATTGAAACTCATTAAGGGGGTGCTTGGTAAGAGATTTATTTTGGGATTAATAGGGAAGTGTAAGTGGGTGTTAAGTATTACCATGTTTGGTATAAGTTTTGAAAAATTTCCCTAGTATAATAAGATGCATAGGAAAAGTTAGTTGTGTGAAAAATTTGATGAAAATCACTATTTCAAAATACCACTTTGCATGTGGTATTTTGGGATGAATAGGGAAGTGAAAAGTTGAACTCCAATCTCTTGACAAAAATGACCCTCCATGGTGGCACCAAATTTGACCAAAAAAAAATTATAAGGGTTATTTTGGTAATTGTAACTCATTTTCCCATCAATATTTTAACTCAAACCAAACATAGACTTTATAATATTTTCCAAATTTCCCCGGTAAATTTTTTTCCAACCAAACAACTTTTTTTACATTTTTCTATCAAACTCACTTTTCAACCATTTTCCTAGTAATTACATTTTCCAAGTATTCAAAAAATTTCTCCTCAACCAAACGCCCCCTTAGGGGGTGTTTGGTAGGTGATTTCTGGTGGGATGGCTGGGTAAGTGAGAGTGGGATATCATGTAAGCCATGTTTGGTAGAGGGTTTAGAGAAATAAAACTAGGGAACAATTTTACCCATCTAAACCAGAGTTGTGTGTAATTTGATATGAAAAGCAGTGTTTGCGAAGACCACCTCAGAGCTAGTATTTGAGGAAGACTAGGGAAATGAAAAATTTGACGGGATCTTGTTGACTGAAATGCCCCTCTAATATGAGACTCTGTCATCTATCAAGCGCAATTGTGTGAGTCGGTCCAGCTGCAAAGTTGCTAGATAGGGGGAGCCAATTACTTCAGTCAATGTAGAGAAAGTGGATGGACTGAGACAGAAGCTTGCTTCCTTTTGTACCTTTTGTTTTTTAAACATTGTGATCACAGCTTGCTGTATTCAGGCCTTATACCTTATTTTTTGTCATGAACAATTAACGTTATTTGTTCCATTTCAGATTTTACTATTGTAGGAGCAAATTTTCTGATTATCTAGTATTTTTACTGAGATGTCAGAAGAAATAAATTAAATGAACTTTATAAATCTGTTAGTTATCACATTTGGAGATTGAGCTTCAGCAAGAGCTTGAAAATGCTCCAACTCTTTTCTGTCTAAAAGAAATATAGCTTATAAGATACTAAGCTAGCAACAAGGTACAAATTTTTGCAAAGCTGAAACAGGAAAAAATGTGCGACCCAACTCTTACATATATTTTTGTTTCTTGAAACCCAGAAACCTCTGTTTCATCAAACCAAATAATTTTTGGTCGCCATCAGTTTTAGTCATATTCCCTATATCAAGACCTTCATTTTCTCCACCAAGTCTGAGCAATTATTTAGAACCTCTGGTTGTTTTTCCCTACGGTTAATGAAAACAAATGGCATAATTGTAATCAAACATTGCTTTTAAATCAAATAATTTGGCACGGTCTGCTCAAAGAAAAGTGTAAACAACCGTAGTTTAACTATCAGTATTGTAAGAGCAGGAAAGAAGAACAAGCCTTTCCACAAGAAGTAGCAGCCCACAAAGAGAAACCCAAAAGTTTCAACAAAATTTACATATAAATAAGCCCTTGTTGGCTGGTATGACAAACTCCAACTTACCAACGTTGCTGATGTACGGGAACCATCCGTTTTTACATAATTCATCTAAAAACCCAACAAGAAGATAGGAAAGCAAACAAATCAATATAAGAACCAAACATTAAAATAAATATCAAAGAAAAATTTATGAAGAAACACAGAGAAACACATAACGAAAGACGAACGTTCCTTGCATAGATGTCCAATGATACACTCACGGGTCTATTTAGATTCAAAATTTACAAGGGGTATTTTTGATTTTTCAATATATTTTTCCATCAATATTTTACTTTCAACCAAACATAGATTTAGTAAATTTAAATCAATTTTCCTGGTAATATTTCGGCCTACCAAACAGTTTTTTATAAACTTGCCCAGTAAATTTGTTTTCTCACTATTTTTCCACTAATCATATTTCCCTAGTAAAAAAAAATTTCTCCTCTACAAAACGTCCCCTAAGAGTCGTTTGTTTTGCCTTCTAGAAAAATTAGTTTTTATCTCTTTTTTATTTTAAAAATATTTTTTATAAAATTTAAAGTTATTTATATTTTTATAAAAATATTTGATTTTTGAAAATAATATTTGATTTTTGATTTCTGTTTTTTTTAAAAATTTTGACTTTCTTTGTCACTTCTTCTTTTTAAAAAACAGACATTACTTAATGTGAAAATTATTTATTTTTACTTTTATTTTTACTTTTTAAATCCACCCAAACATGCCCTGAACAGCTGCCAAACTCGAAGCATTTAAGCTTGAAGCTTCAAACGAACCAATTTCCTGTGGAAATCCCTATTTTCCCGGTCATTTTGTCGTAGGTGCAGTGATCTGAAACTCCAGTATTCTCCTCTCCTTGTTTCTCAGGTGAGTGTTAGGGTTTTTCTCTTCTTCTCCCTCAATTACTTTGCTACATGAATCAATAGCTATGTCGTTGTTGTATTCTCGTGTTCATGATGTTTGCTAAATACCAAACCTCATCCTCAATTTGTAAATAATGTATTTATATGCCTCTCCCAGGGACTATTAGATCAAAAGGTTATCAAACATACAAAGATTGGCTTTGTTTATATCCTAAAACTTAGTCCTGAAATCATCTTTACGAAAATTATGTTTTTGGTATCGTTACATGACATGAAAAAGCTTTAGGGGAATTCAACATCTTATAATAAAACACTTTTTTCTTTTATGTACGCTTTCTCCTCCTTACCTTGAAGCACCCACCCTCTTAAAAAACGCAGGTCAAGTGTTTGATAAAATCACTAAGAAAGAGAGATAATAGAAACAATGCAGCAATAGGTTTGTTTAAAAGACAATTAGGCTACAACTTATGTTCTTGAAGGCGGAAAAAGAAAGATCAAAGTTGGTAGAGTCTGCCTTTTTCTTTTTCTTTTTTCATTGCCTCGCTTATTTGCTTAAAGACAATTAGGCTATTTTGATGTCAACATATTTATTAAAACTATGCTATATATTGGTTTAGCTTTTGGTTTATTTGAATTAGTTTTTTTGTCTGTGTGCTTATGGTTAACTTTAATTTTTGTTTTTACTCTATCCTTTATATAGTATTTGAGACCTTTCAAGGAGATTAGTATAAGTTAGATGAGTACTGTAATTGTCATGAGGCCTTTAGGTTGGATAATTTACTTGATGGTTGCTTAGGTATTAGTAAATATATAAAACTCCTGATATTTGTAACTTTTGAGGTGGGCAAGCAAATAGTGGGGACCTTATCACGGGCAGCCTGGTGATGTTTTGGTGAAAAGTTGAAAAAAAATTCTCCTCCTTTTCTTGCAAGAAATTTCCTATCTTCTATCGTTACCTCTTTGATTGAGCTTTGCTAAATTAGCACAGACTTTGAATTTACACATCCGTTTACTCATTTTGTAAGGCCAAATGGCACCAAGATGGAAAGGAAAAGATGCAAAAGCTAAAAGGGATGCAGAAGCTGAAGCGCTTAAAGAGCCCATGTCAAAGATGATATCTCAACTTCAGTCCTCTTTAGTTCAGTCCGGTACTTGTGGATTTCTCTCTAATAACAGTGTACACTTAGCAGTGGGAGCAGAACAAAGTGATCTGCTTGATAAAACATGCTTTGGTCGACCTGTAAGAACAGTTGAAAAGGACACACAGTGGTTTCAATTAAGCTTGGAGGAAGCATTCTACCTATGCTATTCCTTGAAATGCCTTAAGATTAATGGTGGTGATACTGGTCCCCAAAATGATGAAGAGCTATGGCATTACATGAAGTCCAAGAAAGAAACATTCCCTTGTTTCTACAAGGCTTATTCTCACCTTCGAATGAAAAATTGGGTAGTGAGGTCGGGAGCTCAGTATGGTGTAGACTTCATTGTCTATCGTCATCATCCAGCCCGTGTCCATTCTGAGTATGGTGTACTTGTTTTATCAGATGGGGATGATAAAGATCTAAATGGAAGATTGAGAGTATGGTCTGATGTTCATTGCACAACTCGCCTTCTTGGAAGTGTTGCAAAAATCTTATTAGTTATGTACGTCAATAAAAACGGTAACAATGATGAGTCTCCATTATGTTTGGCAAACTATACCGTTGAAGAGCGCACAATTACCAGATGGAGTCCAGAACAATGCCGTGAAAGATGTAGTTCATGCTAGCATTGAAATCAGAACCAGGTAATAAATACTGTGTGGTATATGTACATTGTCATTTGATTACATATCATATGGACACAACGAATTATATCAAATAAGCAAAAGTAAATCATATACATATATTTTTTTTATAGTCTTTGTCCAAAGGATATTATTGTTAAAGCTATATATCAAATATGATCCATTTAGGCATTCACCATAGTCATAAGATTGTCATTCCCTTTCTGCATAATCTCATTGCCATTTCATTTTTATTTTTTTAGGTTCTCTAGAGGCTATACAAGAGAACATACTCATCCATAATGAAATTTGAAGGTTAGACTTAGATGTAGTACGTAGTGTTCTTTTGTTTTTGTTTTGTTTTATTTTTTTATTTGTTTGAAACCACTTCACTGTATTTTAATTTAAATTCTGCATTCATTGTTTATGGCTTTCATCCATCTTCATAATGAAGCCCTATAGAAGAAACGAGTTTAATTACTAAAAGAAATAAAAAGAAGAAACGAGTTTAATGAATGTATTGGACAATTTGGAGACTAGTTCCAATTTCCAATTTCCAAATTCACATGGCACAGCATAGCTCTAAGTTAATGTAGGCCATTATTGGGGATTTAGCATTACATTAAGGTACAATGAAAGTTTTGAAGCATTACTTTGAGAAAGAAAGTATTGGATGCTGGATGAGAAATAAATTGATAAGATGGCGAAAGTGGATAAAATATAATGTAACCCCAAGCACTACTTTTCACCGACTTGATATTCCCTTGGAAAAGGAAAATAAAATTACCAAAAGTTATTTCATAGCTTTTGTCATTTGAAAGAAAATCATTACAACACTGAATATTAGGAAAATCAGAGGTTAAGCCATGTCCAATTGTCTTAACCAAACTAAAATCGGCAAGTTCCAACAACATTCATTACAAAATAATCAATTTGAGTATTCAAGTACAAGCAGCTACACTATGGTTGTGCAACATAAAGTGTGGAGGTAATATTGTAGATTTTAAATCACATACTATCTGTAGCTGTATAATTTGGAGAAATGGAGAAGGAATTGAAGAAGAGAAGAGGGGAAGAAGAAAGTAGGAGAGTAAAGAGAAAATAAGAAAGAGAGGAGAGTTTCATGCAATTTTTTCATATTCTTTTTATTACCACCACTTCACTATATAACTCCAAGTTGGTTGCAACGAAGAAGTAAACATCAATTACAAAAAGGGACTATCATACGGTAGCGACATATTAAGGAAAATTAGAATAACAAAAATACTAAAGCAACTTAACTATAAGACTGGTATTGATGCCATTAGCTTGGGTTATATGTTGCTACACCATCCAAACAAAAAAAATCTCTACATATGCATCCAGAGAGCAGGAAGAGCTACTGTTTTCAAGATTCAGGATTTTTTATTGAAGATCCGACACATTTTTCCCCAATTGCTAATTCTAGCATAAGACTGTTGCTGGACTCTTCCCATTCTACCACTTGCCAAACTTTGTTTGAGGAAAAAGTTGCCACGATCAGTAACAAATGCAATCTTAGATTCTTAATACTAATAGAACTTGTGTTTCAGAAAATTTTTCATGAAGTCCTCCATATTATAAGAGAATTAAATATTTTCTCCTTTGTTCATTAATTGAAAACTGTTAGTAATATATATTTTTATACATTTATAGTATTTTATTTATTATTGAGTGAACTTCATTGATAAAAATTAATTTTAAATTTAGTTATTCAGCAAGACTTATCCTAAATTCTCTTAATTGAATAATGCCATATCAAATCTTTAAAACGGTGGTGATTCTTTATTATAATTTATGTATTACATTAATTAAGTAAAGAATCTCATTGAGATTATATGTTATCAAATGAGACAAGTAATTCAAATACCATCGTATTGGCAATTGGATAGTCATTCACTATTCATTTAGGAGATGGATTGTGAGAATTGAATACATGAACTAAAACAATACTAATAGTTTTTCACCAAAAAAAAAAAAACAATACTAATAGGTTAAATCAATTGTTATGTATGTAGATTAAAAGGTCCTGCTTGAATTTCATATTATGGTATTATATAGTCAATGGAGTGATAATTTACGCTATCCAAGTTTGAATTATAGTAGGATCTTATCGGATGGTGAATAAAATAATTGTATATCTTGAAAAATGTTAGAGTGAACCATATAATATAAATTTACGGCGTTATCGGTCGAACATGTAAAACCAGTAAGCCAATCCAAAGATGGACAAGCCACCACTATTCCTCTTTCAAATCATCTCATTACTTCTCACCCAATCACTCCTCGCCACGTCATACCCTCTAAATCCGATCCCAATTACAGTTTCCGTCACCGACTTCCGAGCCTCCGGCGACGGCGTCCGGTACGACACAGTAGCAATCCAATCGGCCATCAACTCCTGCCCGGCCGGCTTCCCCTGCCACGTCACCTTCCCGGCGCCGGGGAAGTACCTGACAGCGACGGTGTTCCTGAAATCCGGAGTGGTGTTGAACGTGGAGGTCGGCGCCACCATCCTGGGCGGCACGAGGCTAGAAGACTACCCGAAGGACTCGTCGCGGTGGTATGTGGTGGTGGCGGAGAACGCGACGGACGTGGGAATCAGTGGCGGCGGAGTGGTGGATGGGCAGGCGGAGAAGTTCGTGGTGAGACAAGATCCGAGGAAGAACATCATGGTAAGCTGGAACCAGACAGGTTCATGCTTAGGAGACGAGTGCAGGCCTAGGCTCATCGGTTTCCTTGGCTGCAACAACGTTAGAGTCTCCAACATTACTCTCAACCAACCTGCTTATTGGTGGTGCGTTTTGCTAAACTACTAGATTCTATTTAATCAATTCGATTCATTTTTTCAAAAACTGTTATTTTTATTTGGGGAATATGTTTATCAATGCAACACACACACACACACAAAATGGGTAAGAAAATGACAGAAAGAAGAAACTGACTCTCGTCTATTTTTTTTCGGTCACTGATATAAAGTTATCTACAGTCAACTCAAAACGACGATATCGTTTTTGAGTTATAAAATTAAAAAATTATAATGATAAAAACTAATATAACTCTGCAATATATTATAATTATAAAAATACCTTGATTTCCGTCTCAAAACGACGTTGTTTTGAACGACGGGAGAAATAATCTGAAAAACATATTTTTCTTTTTATTTATAGGCAGGATTATATTACAAATTCTTACAAAATCACTTCAAGACTACATAGTTGAGTTTATAAATATAACTCTTCTCGTTGTTCAAATATGATTTGCAAAATAATTCATTTAGATTGGTTATAAATTATAATTGCAGCTTTATCTAACAAACAAGAGTTTATGGATATTGCAGCTTACACTTGGTACGGAGTGACAACATAGCTATTCACGATATTGCAATTTATGGTGACTTCAATATACCAAACAACGATGGGATTGACATCGAGGACTCAAACAACACCTTAATCACTCGATGCCACATTGATACAGGGGACGATGCAATCTGTCCAAAGTCATCCACAGGCCCTGTTTACAACCTCACTGTCACCAACTGTTGGATTCGATCCAAATCTTCTGCAATTAAACTCGGCAGTGCTAGTTGGTTTGATTTCAAGCATTTTGTGTTTGACAATATCACTATTGTTGATTCTCACAGAGGGCTTGGATTCCAGATACGTGATGGAGGTAGGTAACTTGCTTCTCTTCCCGATTACTGATTGCATCAGAAATCATCATTGTTTTGTTCTGTGAATGTTTTTTTCTTACCTCAAAATGTTGAATGCAAAACAAAGTGTCTAACCTTAAACATGGGTTTCAAATGCTTTAAACTTCCTTGTCTTGTGCAGGAAATGTAAGTGACATTGTCTTCTCAAACATAAATATCAGCACAAGATATTATGATCCATCATGGTGGGGTAGAGCGGAGCCTATCTATGTCACAACTTGCCCACGAGACTCAACATCAAAGGAGGCTTCAATATCAAATGTACTTTTCATTAACATCACTGCTAATTCTGAAAATGGCATCTTCCTGTCTGGTTCAAAGAGAGGATTGTTAAGAAATTTGAGATTCATCAACATGAATATCACTTACGGAAGGTTCACCAACTATGCTGGTGGGTTATTGGACTATAGGCCAGGATGTCAAGAATTGGTTAAACACTGGACTGCGGGCATGATGATGGAGTACATTGAAGGTCTTGAGGTTAAAAATGTACAAATGAGATGGTCAAAGTCAAACAATCAACTAGAACAGTGGAATAATCCTTTGGAGTTCAAACCATCCACTGTGAATAACATCTCTTTCCTTAATTTTAATTCTGTTTTGTACACAAATAGCAAATGAAGTTACTAACTTTGGGTCTGCAGAGGAAAAAGCTCCAAAGCACGTAGGTTGCTTAACCATCAATGGAATGGGAACCACGTTAAAAAAGATGGGAGGTGCATATGCTTTGTGCATCAATAAAAATAAGAGATTGAGGATCTAACACTATTTCACTATACGTTGAGTGCATTTCATTCAAAAAAAATTGCGATTGAAAGGCCTGCGAATTGTTTATATCAGTGTGTAATTCCATTTTCTTTTTCTCCATAGTAGAATGCCTTTTTCCTTTTCTTATTTGTTTCTTTAGGAGTGGTTCTATAAAAATGCCAATATACTTCAATTGATAATTTTAGATCTGGTACTTCGCGATCTGCTTCTGTAATGTAAAATATGTAATTTATTTGTAAAATTGATATATCTTTAAGTGATATTGGGACAGCCTTCAACAAGAATAAAAGCTACATGATTTAATAAACCCTATTTTTAATTCATATATTTTGTTAAAATATAAAAAAAAATTGAAATGTTAGTTTTATCATCCAGATGATAAATTATTGTTTCACATGTTGTAAGAGATAAATTTATCTCTTACACATATAAAAGTGTGTGAAACTTTTTTTTTTCTCTCTCTTCTCCTCACATGAATAAAATTATCTTCTACAATATGAGAAACATTAAGCCCATAATTAATATGTAATAATATAAGTTTTAAAATAAGACGGGTGGTAAAGTTGTTTCTTTATAACTGAAAGATTATGTATTTAACTATACCCTCACTAGTCGGGGTTTGATGGGAAGTGTATTTTTTTTAATATAAATTTCAAAATATTAAGAATTTTGAATAGTATATAATTATCTAAGTTTACTAAAAAAACAGTCCATATTATGAAGTTCTCTCCTTGCCTTTGTATTTTCGTCGGGTTTAGCATTCCTTAATAATTAATAGTTAAAGGGTTTCGATTTTCTCATGCAGTAGAAAATATGTATCTCATACTATAGACATATCTTGTGTGGGGTTTACATCAATAAAAAAAAATAATACTGCACAAAAATCGAAAAACCACTCGTAGGAGAAACATCTCTTCTCCGACACGAGAGATGTTTTCCCCATAGTTAAAATTTAGTTATGTATCTCATCAATATTAAATATAAATTAAATACAAACTTAATAGGTGTTTGTGACTCTCAAATGTCTGAGCTTTGGGGAGTTCTAACTGGATTGGAGACAAGTTGTTGGGGTACAAATGAGTCATCATAGAAAGTGATTCTACAACAGTAATCTTTATGGTATGCAGGAAAGATAGAGCAGCTGATGACCCTCACCTAATCTCACAAAACAAAGGTCAGACGAAGAAGAATTTGGAGGTTCAGTTTATGGAAAATATTTTTCTCGCGTTGTATGAGACAATACAAATTGTCTCATACAACACACAAAAAAGTGGGAGAGACCCACTAAAATGAAAAAAAAAAAGTGGACTCCAACTGCAAATTCCCTTAAGAGTTGTTAAATTATAGGCAATTACACTTTTTATGTTGCTGCAAAAAGAATTCTTCTGTAGCACCACATATTTACTAGGATATGACGTTGGATCCTAACATTTATTTTATAAAAAAAAACCCCATTATATCCCATTTTTCTATGTCTACATTACAAAATTTTGCTTTCTGCAGCAACCGTAGAAAAAACGAACCATAAATTATATGAAATACACATTCTAGAGGCTCAGAGCCCCACAAATACCTTATCACTGTAATTGGGTTGGGCTTTTGCTCTCCTTAACTACTAATTTACACACACACACACATATATATATGAAGTAGGATCATTTGAGACTAGTGTTAAATTTGAAATTTGACACCTCATATGAGAGTTGTTTGATCGAAAAAGATCAAAAGTGTCACATACTTACAAATCAAAGTCGTTGATCTTTTTTTATCTAATGTCTCTCAAATGAGGTGTCAAATTTCAAATTTGACACTTATCTCAAAGGATCCTACCTCTCTCTCTCTCTCTATATATATATATATATATGTATATATATATATATATGTATATATACATATATATATATATATATATATATATATATATGAAAGTTGATCTTGTAATAATCCAATTAATTACAGTCATTTGTTGGACGAAAATCAACGGTTAAAAGTTATATTTACAAACTTTTTTTTCTTACAAATTTACAAACTATACTAAGTATGACTGGTCAAACTTCAATCAAGAGTGTATGACCGGTCAGACATAGTAGGGGTGTTAATCAATCGATCCAAACCGATTCAAACCGCGGTGACCGAACCGAAAAACCGATAACCGAATAAATCGAAAAACCGAAAAAAACCGCAACTTTTAATTGGATTCGATCGGTTTTCGGATTGGTTGATGAAAATCAATCCAATCCAAACCGATCCAATATATTAATTTCCCTTTACCTACATGGCCCTTTCCTCAATCATAGCTCAAAAATTTCTAAACTCAAAACTTATTAACCCATCAACTAAACCCAAGAAAAAACCTAGTCACATCTCATCAACAAAATTTCATCTGTGTAGAGCTTCATATCTCATTGTCCCAAAAAAATATATATTATCGTTTACTGATTGCACAATAATTATGAAACAAATTTTAGGATTTTCAAAAAATCGAAAATCGATCCAATCCAAACCAAAAAAAATTGGATTGGATCAGATTTGAAAAAAAATCCAAACCGAATGGATGATTGCATGATCAAACCGAAGGCATTGGATCAGATGATTTTTGCTTTCAAAACGAATCCAATCCAGACAGCAAACACCCCTCAGACATAGTGTAGTTTGTAAATAAAAAGTTTGTAAATATAGCATTTCCCGTATGTATATATATATATATATATATATATATATATATATATATATATAAGGTTTGGTATTTGTCCTTTTAAAATATATGAAATTATATTCTTTTTTTGTAAATAAATTATATTCTTTTAAGTGAGAGAAAGATATACATAATGAAATTACGGAGGGAGAAAGTGAGTATTTTTTAATTTAAATTTTAAATAAAAATACTAGTTTTAACTAAAATGGCCATCATTTAAAAAGATAATTTTTTTTCATATATATAGGATTATAGTGTTATCCTGTTACAGGATAAAACTATTACATCCGGCAGACACAATTATTCAGGTGGGGTCCACTGACAGGGGGAGAGAAAAAAAATTAAAATGGATTCCACCTTGGGTTTGTGAGTGCAGGAGATGATTTTTTTCTCCTATTACATGGGAAACATATATATATATATAAATATATATGGGTTTATATTTCTGCAGCTGCAGTATGTGCAACAATCAAATACTTGTCATATATATACGTGAAAGCATTAAATGCAAGAAATCATAACCATACAAAAGATGAAAGCATTAAATGTGGGGAATCATAACTATACACCTGTCGTTGTTGTACGTAAAGTGGCTGCAGAAATGATTTTACTATATATATATATATACATATACATATATATATAGGGTTTAGCGGATGTAAAGTGACTGCACCTAAGGATTGGTGCAGTCATATAAAACTACATCGTTTTATAATGTGAAAGCATTAAATATGGGAAATAATAACTATACAAAGGTGGAAATAAATATAAAGCATTAAATATGGAAAATCATAACCATACAAATGTGAAAATAAATATAATATTTATATTCTCTACAATTAATTTTGAACGCGAACTTTCTTTATCCCGCCAAAAACGACGTAGTTTTTAGGTGACTGCACCAATGCTTATATGCAGTCACATTACAAATCATTTTGCCATATATATATATATATATATATATATATATATATATATATGGGGAGAGTTTTTTTGACTCTAGACAAGTCTTACTCCTCATCTCAGCCGTTGATGGATGAAAAACAACGGTTGTCATTTGTAGTGTAATTAATAATTAATTAATTAATATAACTGGAGAGAGGGCTTTTTGACCCTTATAACCCTTTATTAATAATTAATTACCAAATTGACTTTCATTATAAACTATTTCGAAAATTTAACCCCCTCAAAAAACATAACACCAATCTGCCCTCGTTTGACCGTTGACCACCAAGCCTACCCAGGTATACCCCTCCCTACCCGGGTATTTTTTGAAATTTTGTGCCTACCCGGGTATTTTTCTTGGCACCTGGAAAATTGCTTGAATTATTTACCCGGGTAGGGAGGAGTGTACCCAGGGATATCTCGACGGTATGGTTTTTATATAACCCAGCAACCCCCATTTGGAAAACCCACAAAGGGGTACCCGAGTAGAGCTGTTGGAGGTGTGTTGGTTGCGCGATTGAGGACGAAATCTTGCTCAAATTCTTCGATTTTGTGATCATCAGTTCGTGCACGTGTGAATCTCTATCTTGTACCGATTAAAATCCATCCAAGGTTAATTTTTTTTTCTTTTTATCAATTCTGTTCTGATTTTGATATGTTTGTCCCTCCCTCATTTGAAATCATTGCATTTTTGTAGTTTGCATGGTTATATCATTTGATTATGACCGATTAATTTTTGAAATTACTAACTGCTACCCTAACCCTAACCCTAACCTGTATGTTTCTGATTTCTGATTTTGGGTTTTTTTTCAGTTTAATAGTGTGACGCAATGACTTCTAGACGCGTTTCAAAGCTGCCATTGAGGGATACCGAGAGAAGAACCAAGAGTCGTCACGATGGGTCGTCATCCTCTCAGCCTCAGGCTGCTGTAAGTCAGGCTCCGGACTTGACGTTCGGATATTTGTTTAAGGATGACATACTTGCACACGAGAGGTTTGTGAAGTTTTTCATGAGCCGAAAGATTTGCGAGCCGAAATCACTGGAATCGGCCTTCTTTAACTTGGAGCGTTTCGACATTGTGTCGCTTCTTGAGGAGACACATTTACTTGTCCTGGCGGAGATGCGGTGCCCATACTCGGAGGTTATGGTGAGAGCCTTCTACCAAAACCTAGGCTATACGCATAGCGAGCTGACTTCCCGTGTCTGCGGGATTGATATCATCATGACTGCTCCTATCTGGACGGAGCTACTGGGGTTCGATTTTGATGGTGTCATAGGAGCAGCACTATATGATGGAGACAACCATAATATATTTGGTGATTATGACCGGGAGGCCATTGTTACAGAGACTAGGAGGGCAGACGCTGAGGCCGGACATTTTGCTCATTATCTTGTGAGCAACTTGTCGATGTCTGCTCGCATTCTTCATTAGGTGGTGACACATATTATTTTCCAGCGCCCGCATAATCACTCGAAGGTGCTGGAATGAGACTTTGTC